AGCACACAAAGCAACAGAAGAAAGTAATAGAAATACATATTAGAGACAGTCAACAGTAGTGTGAGACAAAGGTATGGTAATAACGGAGAACAAAACAGTTTCATTGGAAATCATGAGTCACAAGGAGTGGATGCATCTGCGCCACTGAGAACGATTTTGAGCCATGTCGCCAATTGTTTCCATCCATTGGTTTTTACCGTCCCGAGGACCCCAACCAGTCAGGAAGCCAATTCACACCTTCCTACGTGGCTTAGACTAACTGTTGTGGATTTCATTGACTGATGAGGCCATGTTTTCGTTTGACCGCCGCCAGCTCTTTTCCAGCCTGGCCCTATATCAGCTAACATTGCCCATTGTCAAGGAAGGCGATGACTAGGCATACGTAACACATGTCCTAACCATCTCAGTCGATGTAATTTCACAGCCATGTCGATTGATTTCTCCTCCCTACCTAGCACTCGACCGACGCCTAACCTCAATATTGCTCACCCTATTATACCACTTCACACGGGAGATAGAACGCAGACACCTATGATCGAAGACAGCTAATCTTTTCATGTCTCCCACTCTCAATGTCCATGTCTCACTCACAGCCATAAAGGAGGATGTAACGGACTGATAAGCAGTACACACGCCCTTTGATCGATAGCAGGATATCACGTCTACGCCAGAGACAGCGTAAACTGGCATATTCGAAACTAGCCCTCTGTATTTGTACTGAGATTTCGTCAGAGATCAACCCGTTGGCACTGGTTGATGGTATTTTCCAAGTAAGGGAAGCGGTCAATTTGCTCTACCACTTCACTTCATATTTCTAATCTAGGAGTCGGTGTAGTCCAATCCCATAACACTATCTTACATTTTACAGGGGCGAATCGCATGCCAAACATACGAAGATTGCTTCTCAAGGTGTTCACAAGACTCTGCTCTATTTTGTCAGCGTCCTCGCCTAGAAGGACTATATCGTCTAACAAATACGAAGGTATAAAATTAGCAAATCAATCCTATAAATTCAGCACCTAAAACCATTGAAACCTCAAAACCTGAGGATCTACTTTTCACTGCAAACTCAAACGAAAAGGAAAAAGAAAACCAAAGAAAACGCCCAAGGTCTACTCATGGATTAACGCCTATTTCACCTGTCAAAGATTTAAAGGAAACAAAACACTAATCTCAGGAATAATATATGAAATTCTATCTGAATGAAGGAAACACACACACACACCTAGGATACACATGAATTAAGGCTAGTTCCCAAAATCTGTAATTACCAACCTACATTATTATTTATTTCAAGGGTTGATTTGTTAGGGTTTGATTTAATTTTTTTGAATTCGACGACGGCTTGATATCAGTTAGAGAACCATCGCAAACCAGCCACAGGGAGTTTCATCAGTCTAGTTTGGGAAATATTGGAAGTACACATCCACCACCAGAGTTCGAACCCAGGATCTTCCATTCAAACCATCCGACTCAATGGCCAGTCCACGAATTCTAACTTCTACCAAATTCATGGTTTAGCGCGACTATCACCCAGTGTTATCGGTGGGACAGCCATCCCTACTCTCAGCTGGATGGACCTCACTGGTCACGACTTCTCACTGGAACTTACTACAGGAAATTCCATCCTGTAGCAAGTCAACTTACTAGCGAGCATCCGATTAATTTTCAGGGATTGATTTTTAAGGACTTGATTATTATCGCTATTATTATTATTAATATTGTTCACTTCGGTTTCGAATAGAACATAAGCACGTCTAGATTTTTTTCCCTATGTTCTGAGGTCCCTTAAATCAGCTGGTCCTGATAATCGCCCATATAGTCTCTCATCTGCTCTGCAAATGATCCCCTGCATGTCACAATCGAACCAACGCCAAACTAATCGTTTCCTACTCGGGTTCGACTCGAGCGATGTTCTGGCGCGCAAAATCACTCGACAGTCTCCTCAATGTGTGTATACAGTGTACCTCATTTTGCTTCAGAATATATTTGTTGAGCAACACGAGGGATTTGAAAGAGGTTACTTCATTCACTCACTGATCTAAGGAGCATTGTCTCAACTACAGGAGGAACGGACGAGGATGTCAAATCGAGAATCGGGAAGGCGAGAAACACATTCATCAACCTGAAACCAATCTGGAAATCTTCCACTGTCACTCAGCCTGCATCAACAACAAAGTGATTCGGATTTTCAATACAAACGTCAAGTCAGTCACTTCTTCTATACGGATCAGAAACTTGGCCAGTGTGTCACAAAGAATATTTCCAACAGCCTGTTGCACACCTTTATCAACAACATCTGTCTTCGCTGGCTCTATACTGGAGATCAGATGGCCAGAAAGAATCACCAACAAGAAACTATGGGAAGAAACAAACAAAACGAGAACCAATCGCCCAACAAATATGCAGGAGAAAGTGGAGATGCATTGGACACACTCTGAGGAGGCCGCTGGGTGACATCGCACGTCAGGCCAGTGCTCGAGTGGAACCCGGAGGGGAAGCGGCGAGTAGGATGTCTAAGGAGGGTGACATGGAGGAGATCGTGTGAAGAGGAGTTGAAACAGTATGGACTAACATGGATGCAGGTGAAAAGTACAGCAGAAGACAGAAGCAAGTGGAGACGTGTAGTTGAAGCCCTATGTTCCACTAGGAACCCGAGGGAACAATAATATAATAATAGGTTCTTGACTGGTTCTTTTCCAGCTAGAGTTTATTTGGTGTTGTTTTTATTCTTTCTGGCCAAATGATTTTCGCCGATGAAGCGAAGGTGACGGTTGATAAAAGTAGTCTTCCGTAGCTTGTTCGAAATACTCTGCAGGATGCATGCGCCATGCTTCTAATCCATTTAGAAGGACATTAAGGAATCCGAATTCTGTTCTTCATGGTGCTGAGGTAGAGCGCAGTAGATTTTCAAACTGATTTCAGAATGATGAAGGTCTGCTTTATCTAATTGAATTTTAGATTTTCCCGTCGATTGATTGCACCGAAGTGCTCAGTCTCAGGTTGACATATCTGTCGGCTTCTTGTGCAGATGCTTCGACGATGTCTCGGCCTGTAATTAGAATTTAATTGGTGGTGGATGGTGACTAGTAGTGGAATCGAGCCGGATGCGCATTTCGTCCTATTCGGGACTCGTCATCAGCTGGATGTACCTGCATTCGCCCCAGTGAGTGCTGATGTTCCCACTGAGGCTCAAACCCAGTTCCCATAGTTTCAAACGCCTCCTGGATTCCGCTGCTAGTCACCATTCACCAATTGAATTCCAATAACATGCCCAGAAATTGTCGAAGCATCTGCACAAGAAGCCGGCAGACATGTTAACCTGAGACTGTGCACTTCGATCCAATCAATCGATGGGAAAATCTGAAATTAATTTAAGTAATTAAAATGACCTGTTGCACAAGAGGTGGCTTTCGTGACCCAAGTGGTCTATTTTATTTTATTTTTTTATTTTGATTTACAGCTTGATTCCACACCGTATTTTCAGTACAAGAATGGAATTCTCAGCATGGATATCGGTAGCCCAAATTCAGGCCGACCATAGATATCGGGTGTGCGCCGGCAGGGGATCGAACCCCGGACCATGTGCATGGTCGGCGAGAGTCCTAACCACTGTGCCACCGACGTCTAGTGGATAACGCCTTGCCGTTTGAAACTATGGGCACTGGGTTCCATCCCAGGTGGGAACATCACCACTGACTCACTAGGGAATGCAGGTAAATCTGGTTGACGAGTCCTAAATAGGACGAAATGCGCATCCTGGATTCCACTGCTAGTCACCATCCACCACTTAAATTCAAAGTCTGCTCTGTGCCTCCAATTCCTGGCTAGTTTTGACATCCTCATCTATGCGCCATCGCCTGTAGTTGAAACGATACTGCCTTGTACGATAAGTGAAACAAGGGACCTGTTTCAAGTTTCTCCCGTTGATAGTGACTGGTGCTGACTGTTTTCATTGTTGTTGTCGGTTAGTTGTTTGATTATCTTCATTACCTTCGTCTTCTCTATACTTACCTGGAGTTCTGTCTTCTCTGCTAACCGGCCTCTTCAGTCAGTTTGCTGTTTTCCGCCTTTTCCGCCTACCTGCCTGCATGTAATTCTTCGAGTTTGTTCAACGCTAGATATAAAGTTTGTTACAGGATTTTCATCATGAGCTGACACTAGTTAGAGAACCATTGGAAAACCTGGGAGTACTGAACAGCTCTTTCGTCCTAGTTTGGGACTCTTCAGCAGTACGTGCCCACCAGGAATCGAACCCAGGACCTTCTGGTTACAAGGCTAGCTCGTATAGCATTAAGCCACTGGGACCCGATCCAATGGTCCATGAATTCTAACTTCTGCCAATTCACGGCATAGGACGACCCCTAGCCAATGTATTCGGCGAGTATTTGTCTTCACACCCGACCTGCTGCACCCTACTGGTCACGACTTCTCAATAGAACCCCAGGTAACTACCTACCTGAATAGGGCAAGTCACTAGTGAGCATCTCATTGATATCCAAGTGTTGGTTTGTAGGGATTTGATTGGTTACAGGATTTTCATCATGAGCTGACATTAGTTAGAGAACCATTGGTAAACCTGGGAGTACTGGACAGCTGTTTCGTCCTAGTACTCCCAAGTTTTCCAATGGTTCTCTAACTAATGTCAGCTCATGATGAAAATCCTGAAACCAATCAAATCCCTACAAACCAACACTTGAATAAATTTTGTTATTTTATTTTTGATGATAACTTGATTCCACACAGTATTTTGTTTTTGCTACAAGTATGGAATTTTCAGCATGTGATGTCGGTAGCCCAAATTTTGCAGGCCGACCATTGATATCAGGTGTGCGTCGGCTGGGGTCGAACCCTGGTAAATGTGCATGGTCGACAAGAGTCCTAACCGCTGTGCCACCAACGCATTTAATAAACTACTTTGAGTTTTTTTGTGTTTTTAGTTTAAAAATGCTAATACACATATATCTCATGCAAAAAAGAGTTAGAAAAAATATACATACCTATTGGATCAATCCATACACCAAATGTAGACGTATCATTAAATTTCTCATCTAATTGTTGTACATTGAAGCATTTGTTACAACTTTCAATAAGATGTTCCCAAATTTTACACACGGATAATTGTGTTTTAAACCATTCTAATGGTTGAAAGCATATTTCACTTAATTCATTGGCAAACTCTTCATTATTACCGAAAACGTCGACTAATTTGGAGGGAGAGAGACAGAGGGAGAGAAAAAAAGAAGAAAATGCAGAAAGTTAAAGAAACGAAGTTATTAATAAATATAGTTCGCTTATTAACTGATACATTAGACACACATATATATGCATTTTCAAGTATTGGTTTTGTAGGGATTTCATCTGATTGGACGGAGGATTTCATCATCGTAAGCTGACATCATTTAGAGAACCATTGGAATAAGTTAGGCTTTTCAAGGTAGATCCCCACAACATCGGTTATAGAACCATTGGAAAACCACCATGGGGTACTGAACAAATGTTGCATAAGCCTAGTCTGGGACTCTTCATCAGTACGCACCCACCACAGAGGCTTAGAGCCCAGGACGTTCTTGTTACAAGGCGAACTAACTCGTAGACCATTCAGTAGCCATTTGGACCCGATCCAACGGTCAGCCTATGGATTCCAACTTCGGCCAATTCGCGACATAGTACTCCTGGCATTAGCCAGTGTCATCCGTATCGAGTATTTGTCCTCACGCCCGACCTACTGGTCACCCTACTGGTCACGATTTCCCACTAGAACACCATGTAACTACCTACCTGAATATAGCCAGTCACTAGTGAGCATCTCATTGATATTCAAGTATTGGTTTTGTAGAGATTCGGTTGATTGATTACAGGATTTCATCATGAGCCGAAATCAATGACAAAACCATTGGTAAACCATCAGGCAGCACTGGACACCTGTTGGGAGAATTCGTGGAAGTTGTAATCGATAGGTCATTGGCTCTGGTCTACGAGCTCCCCCTTTTAAACAGGTGATCCTGGATTCAAACCCTCTGTGTGGAGGTTGCGTACGAATAAAGAGTCTCGAACTAATCTGATGAAACAGCCCTCTGCTATCCAGTACTCCCTCGTAGTTTTCCAATGGTCCTATAACCTAACCAATGTCGGCAAATGATAAAATTCTGTAACCAACTTGTTTTTGTTGTTGTAAAGTGATGACAGTCTGACAATTCAAACTAATTCGAAAATTCCCACAAATATCATGTTTTTTGAAAAAAGATACATTTAAGAAGGAAAATAGTGACAGTAACCGCACCCACCACTACCAATAGTGTACACATCATAAAACGAGGGACAAAATAAGTAAGTACGTAGGTAAGTAAGTAAGTAAGTAAGTAAGAGATACTGAAGCATTGAAAGCCTACACTCAAGGCCACTAGAAGAGAAGCGAACAGCAATCCTACCCTGCTAGTCATCGCTAACCAATTACATTTCTCCTCTCCCCCATAGTATTATTGTTATTATTATTATCACTATTATCTTAAAGACATGCGCATTTGTAGTGTAAAAAAGTAAAACTTCTTTTTGTCATAAATACCTAGTAATCGATTTCACAAAATACATCAGAAAAATGCGATGACATTTTCAGCGAAAACAAAAATGCTAAAAAAAAAAACTCCTTTTACTTTATTCAAAATTCAAGCTGATCCTCCCACACTAATTTCCTAGCTAAATATCAGTTAGGTAATTAATATATGTGTAAAACTTGGGCACTGTGGTAGTAAGTAATTCCCTATCAGTTTGTTTATTAGATATATCACATAGTGAAGCAGTATTATTTGCTGGATGGCGTTTCGAACAAAATTTATTGTTCATAATCATACCATCAATTGTAATCACACGACTTTGAAACTTGAGTTCTATAGTTTTCTTTGTTTTCTCCTATTTGTCGTCGTAGGGGTAGTAGAATTTTCCAGATATCCTGGTGGACAGGTGATGAATCATTCCTATTTTCATAATACTGAAGACAAGCAAATGACTTCATACTTGTAACGGTTCCTGTGTTTTTGAAATTATATCACTGCAAGTTGAAAGTTAACGGCAAAAACCATTCACATTGGAACCCTTGGAAAACTGGGCAGCTGCTTCATGCTAGTTTGAAACTCCTCATCCGTACTCATCCGCACTGCAGTTCGAATTCAAGATGCACTAGTATCCACTAAGTGAGGTAAAAGGTCGGTTAGTCACCTGTGACATTGGCTAGTGTCAATCGCGAAATATCATGAATCACGACGGAGGTTAGAATTCATGAGCTGATCACCGGATCGGGTCCCAGTGGCTGTGGAATGGTATATAAGCTCGCCTTGTAACTGGAAGGTTCTACATTCGATGAGGCTGGCTGTAGGGTGTGTAGGTGTACTTCTGGAGAGTAGCGAACTAGGGTGACGAAACAGCTGTCCACTACCCACAGGTTTTCCAGTGGTTCTCTAACCAGTATCAGCTGATAATGAAATCCTGTTTTTTTTACTCCTTTACGTTCCCAGTGGAACAAACATTAAAGAGTGACAAATGATTAATGATAACAGTAGTAAAAATGTATCAAGTCGCTAAAGGTCAATCACTTTAACTAAATATCGTGCTATGATGACTCATTTCGACCGTTACACTAAAATTGGAAATTCAATATGAATAAACACAGGAGTCAGACAAGGGTGCTTATTGTCACCAATGATATTCCTAATTGTAGTGGACTGGATTATGCGTAAGACAGTGAGTGGGAAACCAGAAGACAGGGATATCCTGGACTGACGTGAAGAACTTAGAAGACCTGGATTTCAAATATGGATGATTTATATTTGATGTCACACAAAATCGAAGACTTACAAGCGGAAACCGACAAACTGGTCGAAGAAGCAGCAAAGACAGGACTCCAGGCGAACATAGACAAAATGGAGGTTATGAAAATAACCAACCAACAACAACAACAACATCCACCGCCAATCACCATCAACGGGAGGGATTTGATGAAAGAGGTTACTTCTTTCACTTATCTAGGGAGCATTGTCTCAACTACAGGCAGGTGGAACGGACGAGGATGTTAAATCGAGCGAGAATCGGGAAGGCGAGAAACACATTCATCAACCTGAAACCAATCTGGAAATCTTCATCACTCAACTCAGCATCAACAACAAAATTCGGATCTTCAATACAAACGACGTCAAGTAAGTCAGTTCTTCTATACGGATGGATCAGAAACTTGGCGGCGGGTCACAAAGAATATTTCCAACAGCCTGTTGCAGACCTTTATCAACAACTAACTGTCTTCGCTGGCTCTTTACTGAAGATCAGATGGTCGGAAAGAATCACCAACAAGAAACTATGGGAACAAACAAACGAAACAAGAACCAGTCGCCCAACAAATGTGCAGGAGAAAGTGGAGATGGATTGGAAACTCGGTGAGGAGGCCGATGGGTGACATCGCGCGTCAGGCCAGTGCTTGAGTGGAACCCGAAAGTGAAGCGGCGAGTGGGACGTCTAAGGAGGGTGACATGGAGGAGATCGTGTGAAGAGGATTTGAAACAGTATGGATTAACATGGATGCAGGTGAAAAGTACAGCAGAAGACAGAAGCAAGTGGAGACGTGTAGTTGAAGCCCTATGTTCCACTAAGAACCCAAGGGAACAATAATAATAATCTGAAAATTGCTTTCACAATGCAGCGTGCAGTGGCCAAGTCTTTATCAGCCTTATTCAACAGCCGACATTGTCACATGTCAGGTGTGATCCACAATTGAAAACTTAGCGATGAGTTAGAGGTGAATACAGGAGTAAGACAAGAATCCCTCGCCTATTATCACCGATGATATTCCTAATTGTGGTGGACTGAATTACACGTCAGACTGTGCACAGGGAGTGAGAAGACAGCAATACACTGCACTGACAGATAAGAAGACTCTGAAGGATCTGGATTTCGCACGTGGATGATTTATGTATAATGTCACACAAAGTCAGAGACTTGCAGGGGGAAACCAACAAACTGTTAGTGCAAGCAGGCAGCGAAGACAGGACTCCAGGTGAACATCGAGGTGATGAAAATAACCAACCAACCAGCAGCAACAACAAGCAGCACCAATCACCATCAACGGAAGAGATTTGACAGAGGTTACCTCCTTCACTTATCCAGTTAGGAACCATCGACACGGATGTAGATATGAAAGTTAGCCAGCCAGAATCCGAAAGGCAATGCGAGATACGCCTGCATCAACATGAAACCAGTTTGGAAATCTTCTGCACTCAGGCAGCATAAACAACAAAATTCAAATTTTCAACATCAATGTGTCAAGTCGGTCCTTCTATGCGGGTCAGAAACTTGCACTGCGTGTCACGAAAAGGATTTCCAACACTCTGTTGCAGACTTTCATCAACAACCGTCACCTTCTCTGACTGTTTGGCTGGTTCCATACTGAAGATAAATGTCCAGCTGGCCGGCGAGAAAGAAAGAATAACTAACAAGAAACTATGCCTGAGAACAAACCGATCGCTAAACAAATATGCAGAAATAAAAATGGAGATGAATGAATCGGGCATACGTAAGGAGATGGTCGAATGACATTGCACTCAATGCAGGCCACTACTCGAGTGGAATCCCAATGGAAAGTGACGAATCGGTCATCGGTGCGAGGGTGACATGAGAGATTATGGGCAATCGTGTGGCTAGCCAGATGAAGAGGATAGAAAGTGGAGATGTGTGTGTGTATATATGTGTGTGTTGAAGCCCTATGCTACACTCAGAACCCAAGGGAATAATAATTATAATTTTATTGACCACCATCATACATTAATTGACATTGTTAATGAAGGTCTGTAGTTTGTTTGAGATGCTCTTTATGACGCGCCGGCCAAGTCTCTGATCCGTATAGTGAGCAGCACTGACTTCACATTGAAGTTGAAAATCCGGATCTTATTCTCATTTTCATGCTGAGTGCTGTTGACCTCCACACAGACTAGAGAGTATTGAAAGCTTGTCTTGCTTTTCCGATTTTTGCTTTGATATCCTCGTCAGTTCCGTCTGCCTGTGGTTGAAACGATGCTTCCCAGGTAGGTGGTTAGGCAAAATAGATTGTTTCTTTCAGGTTCCTCCCATTTATGCTGGCTGATTGTTGTCTGTCGTTGTTGTTGCTGTTGGTGGTGTTGGCCAGTGGGTGTGTAATGCCGATGATTCCCAAACTAGTGGGATGAAACAGCTGGCTGTCCAGTACTCCCTGATGGTTTTCAATGGTTCTCTAACTGATATCAATCCGTGATCAACTCGTAAAAATAGTGAGTGTTAATTTACGTAGGTCAATTCTGATCGATTTATTTCCAGACTGGATGTTGATCATCATATCATCATAAAAGGATAATCTACTGTTTATCTACCTACCTTTCAATTCCGAAGAAAATGGAGATTCTTTAGTGACATCCCACTCCAGGAATGCTTTCGAATCGTATCAGAATGAGAAATGTTGAGTTTGACATGAATCGAACGGTGACACATGGCGTAGGTCGTGTAATGGAGGAGAAGACGAAAGCTTATAAGCAGTCCTGGAGCCAGTCAAACAGGACTGAAGATAACACAAGATGAAATGGCGATGTGCTGAGAAAGCTTGGTTTTTTTACTCGGAGCTCGAAGGAATAATAATCTACGACATAGCGCGACTGGCACTAGCCAATGTCATCCGTATCGAGTATTTGTCCTCACGCCCGACTGACTGTTGCAACCTGCTGGTCATGACTTCCCACTAGAACTCCAGGTAACCACTACCTACCTGAATAGGGCAAGTCGCTAGTGAGCGATATTCAAGTATTGGTTTGTAAGGATTCGTTTGATTGATTACAGGATTTCATCATGAGCTGACATCGACTAGAGAACTATTGGCATGAGAACATATGCACAGCCGAAGACATTGGCTAGTGCCAGTCGTGCTATGTCGTAAATTGGCAGAAGTTGGAATTCATCGACTTGCCATTGGATCTGGTCCCAGTGGCTACTAAATGGTCTACAAGCTTCACTTGATTTAAACCCCGGCGGTGAGTGCGTGCGGATGAAGAGTCCCAAACCAGGCTGATGAAACAGCTGGCTGTCCAGTACTCCTGCGGTGAGAGCTGCCTGCTAGCCAAAGTTGGTAGACAGTAATTGACGTCAATGTTTACGTCTCCAATATTGATCATGAGAAAACAACAAGAACAAAGGCTAACTCAAAAACCTATCACAGCAGACTTTGCGTAGGCGGATACAATTTGCAGATAGATAATCTGAACTTCAAGAAACGGCTACAAATAGATGAAAGATTAACGTTCAGTGAGAAACCATCAATCAGAAGACTGTGTTTGTCTGCTTACAATAATCTATAATAGTGTACATGAAAATCTATAAATATATGTTGATTTCCTTAATAAATGATCTGTTTCCTGGCCCTTGTCTTCTGTTGTTACATTTGGTGTCGCTGCCTATCGACAAAAATGGAAAGCGTATGCCCTGCAATTTTTGATGGAGACATACGGATCTTCGGACAGGACTTCCAGACTTCTGCGCAGTTGAGTGGCGTTCATTATCCGTCAGCGATGAGGCTGCTACTTAAGACGCTGCTGGGAGGTCGGGAGAAAGCAGTATGTTAAAGTGTGAGGCGAAATATCGACGAATGTGCGACAGGGTCAGGCAAATAGTTTCCAAAGTGGGAAGGACCACATATGATCACTTTGAGATGGGGTTACGCAGACACAATAGCAATCGTAAACAAAGAGAAACAGGTGAACATCAGCAAGCGCGGAGATTTCATACAGCAAGACAAAGGAGCAAAGCCCTGGGACCAAGAAGACCGAACCAACTTCAGTCGCAAGTCTTTGACGGGGGGACGAGTGTGGTGAGAGCTGACTGCTAGCCAAAGTTGGTAGACAGTAATTGACGTCAGTGTTTATGTCCCCAATATTGGTGTTGAGAAAATGAGAGCAAAGGCTTTGCGTAGGCGGGCGTATACAGTTAGCATATGGATGATCTGACACAGCCACAAAGAGATGCAAGGTTAACTTTCTGTGAGAAGCAACCAATCAAAAGACTGTATTTTCTACTAACAATAATCTACAATAATGTACATGAAAATCTATAAATATGTGTTGATTTCCTTAATAAACGATATGTTTCCTGGCCGTTGTCTTCTTCTGTTACACTCCCTGTGGGTTTTCCAATGGTTTTTTAACCGATGTCAGTTCATAATGAAATCTTGTAATCAATCAATCAATCAAATTCCTACAAACCAATACTTGAATAATAATAACTTAATGATATAACATGTTAATTCAGTTTATATCTTCAACAATTAACAACAAAAAGGGGCATGTGTAGTAAAGTCACTAACTACTACTTCTACTTACCTAATAAATTGACAAGATTCTCTTTTGTTGTAAGTTGAATTGTAACACTTTTACCTGAATTACTAGAGAAACGATTATTCTCTTCACCAAATACTGATTCACCGAATCCAGGAAACTAAAATTTGTAAGAACACAGTAAGTTAAAAGAAAACACAAAGAGGGAGAGAGAGCGAATGTGTTATACAGAAATAACAAATAAATTAGAGTCTTTGATTCGTCTAGACAGAAAAGAAACATTTTTAAGTTTTTACTTCTTTCAGGGGTTTTGATTGATTTCAGAATTGACATCATCGGTGAAAACCAAGGAGTACTAGACAGGTGACTTTTATCCTAATTTGGGTGAGTACTGTTGAAGAGTGCAAAACTAGGATCAAAATAGCTGCCCATCTAGTACACTATTTAGTTCTTTGATTGGACACTAGTAACTAGTGTGATGTGCGTCGGTGGCACAGTGGTTAGGACTCTCGCTGACCATGCACATGGTCCGGGGTTCGATCCCCTGCCGGCGCACACCCGATATCTATGGTTGGCCTGAATTTGGGCTACCGATATCCATGCTGAAAGTTCCATACTTGTACTGAAAATACGGTGTGGAATCAAGCTGTAAATCAAAATAAAATAAATAAAATAAATACTTTCTTCTCTGTAGACTATATTCTATCAGTCAGTCAAGTTTGCATTGTGACCACCATGCCACTAGGTAGCTCGCCATCACGGTGCACATTGATTTGATGATATTAGATAGTTGGATGCAATCAGCCACAGGAAGCCTTGCTTGACCTAGGTTTCTTGCTAGTTTGGCACTCACCAGTCAGTCAGCAAGGCGTATCTGTTACCTTTGAGGAACTTATGTCTCTGCCTCTGAGATTCGAACCCTTACTGATAGAATTCAGTCTGCACCAAAGAAAGGACTAAACACGTCACACTAGTTACTAGTATCCAGTCAAATTACCCACTACAGTCCTGCAGGAGGTAAATCGCGAGCCAGCCCGGATAGCTCAGTGGCAACGTCTCTGATTGCAGTCAGCACAGGATGACGCGGGTTGACTGGTGAATGCCAAACTAGCAAGAAACCTAGGTCAAGCAAGGCTTTCTGTGGCCGATCGTCTCCAACTATCTATCTAATATCATCACACTCTTTGGTTCTCAAAAGTTTTCCAATTCATGTCATTTCATAATCTAACTTGAAAAACTTGTTTATCATTCTACTCCTTTACTTTCCCAGTGGAACACATAGGGCTTGAAGCTAGCTGGAGCTTTGAAGTTTCGGTAGTAGTGATAATTACTCTTACGGGATGGGGTTGTTTGTTATTCTACCTCCCAACCTTCCTAATTATCCCGGGGGCGCTACCAGCTAGGCGAGATTCAGGAGTGAGTCAACTGGAAATCAAGACTAGACCTTCCACAGAGTGGCTGGAGAGGATTTTACCATTGAGACACGTATTGCACGCATAAATCACAATATTTGAGTATTGGTTTGTAGGAATTTGATTGATTGGTTACAGGATTTCATCATCATGAGCTGACATTGGTTACAGAACCATTGGAAAACAAACAGGGAGTACTGGACAGCCAGCTGTTTCGTCAGCTTAGTCAGGGACTCTTCACCAGTACACATCCACCGACAGGATTCAAATCCAGGACCTTCTGGTTACAAGGTGAGGTCGTCGGTTTTTAAGCCACTGGGACCAGATCCGATGGCCAACCGATGAATTCCAACTTCTGCCAATTGACGACATAGCGCGAGTGATCTAATAGAGAATGCTTTGAAATGATGGGTATTGGAATTCACCACCATCGCTTGCCAGGGAATACAGGTACATCAAACTGATGAGTCCCATATCCGACGAAAACTGCATCCTCTTGGATTACACCTGCTAGTCACTATCCACCAAATAATCACTTCAAATTAACCCTCAGACATCGTCAAATCATCCATGCAACCAGTCAACACATAACACCTTGAAGTCAATCAATCAACGGGGGTGGGGGGTGGGGGGAGGGATGGTCATTGGGGGGGAACAAAATCATTATTGAAATATATATACACACACTGAAAAGTATTCTCTCTTACCAATAAACTTAAATCATATTTTATAACTTGTTGAATTAATACATCAGCAAGTGTTTTCACATCTATACTAAATCGTAAATTTGCTTCAGTTGAATCTTTCACTTGAATTAAACTTTGAAATAGATTAGTTTGTTTTTTTATTAAACGTGCAATAACAGCAGCTTTTTCACTGCATAGAATAAGACTTTTTAATAGTTGTACACACAATGGATCTGTAGGATTCATTTATAAGTAGTGTGTGTGTAAGTGTGTGCGTATGCGTGAGTAGTAGGTTTAACACAATTAAAAAGTAGCAGCAGTGCAGTGCAGTACAGTGAAGGTAGTGGCTTCTTTCTTGATCCCTTCCAATGGTGTGAGAGTGGGTGTATGTTGTTTTCTTTTTGGGTTTTAGTGAATCATTCCATATTTTCTTATAAATCTAAAAAGTTAAAATAGTAATAAGAGGAAGAACATTTTACAAAAATGTATTAAACGTTTTTATGAATAAATAAATCAATCAATATGAGAACCAATTAAAGATCAGAGAGTATTGAACTGGTGTTTTGTCCTAGTTTGTGACTCTTCATCGGCGATTTGTCAGTCATAATCCCTTTAGGGATCGTTCTCAAATGTCTCTAGTCACCTGATCCAGATAGTGTGCCAATATTTATATGTTATTCTTTCACTGATATTTTCAATGGATCATTTTTTCACAAAATGTTATGCCTGCTTTCAGGAAGGATATTAGGCGAAGTTCAACAATAGCGTCTCAGGTGTGTGAACACTCCACTGACCTTGAACGCATGCTAGTCGTTGGCTTACGTCACCTGTCATTATCAAAGCTGAAATATTAGTGATATTCACCAACTAGTAAGGGAATTTCACCCAGATCACGTTTTTAAGAGCTGCTTGGGCAATGTGTTAATAGCTCGCTAGAGTTAGGATTAGGGTGAAGGTAAGTATTGGGGTTAGGGTTAGGTCAGAGTCAGAATTAGGATTAGGGTTAGACCTACGGTTAGAATAAGGGTTGTAATTAGGGTTAGGATTAAGGTTAGGGTTAGTGTTAAGTTCAAGGTTAGGGCTGTGATTAGGGATAGATTTAGAGTTGATGTCATTTATTTTAATTTGTTTTATTATCTACACTTTCCTGGTAAGTAGTCGTCGATCCTCTTAATGGAAACCACAGTAATTCAACCGAAGGCTGTTGGGGGGGGGGACTGCACAACAAGATAAGAGAGATAAACGATTCACAAAAACAGCTCATCTTCAGTCACCTCGGTGAATACATGTACAGAAACTAGTCTAACTTAGCAACTGATACTCCTCACTATAACTTGGACACATTTTTAAGTCATGTCAAAACAGATGGCCTGTTTAATGTATTTTCATGCATTTTCTTGCAATAATACATCATTTTTCATGCAAAAATGCTTCATTTATATGATTAGTCGGCTCAAGGACATTCGTGCGTTCGCATCCCTCGGGACGCCATTGTTGAACTTTGCCGGATATTTAAGTTGTTCCTGCGCTTAAATCATGAACAAGGATCATGTATTAAGTTTCGACTTATTGATATAACCTCATTATTTTTAAAATTAGTGGAAAAATTGCTTTTATGTGACACTGAACCTTTATTGAAGGCTTTTATCGACTCTAAACATGGTAAATTTACTTTAGATGCTACTGTTGACTTACATCACAGTACTGTCTATAATTTAGATTGGAGTGCTAAATACACACAACCTTCAGTGTTGCTTCCATAATACCACCTATATGCTAATAATGACAATAGAGAAATAGTGACAATGAGAAATCCCTGATAGCTTGTTTGGGAACAGCAATGATAGCTAGTTGTATTTCGTGATTCTAACTTAATCAGTCTTGTAAAAGGGTTCCAGAATGGTAACAGACTACACACACAGGTGTACTTCGCAAGGAACAACAATCCTAAAAAAAATCATTCTATTCAACGAACTGAAGGCAAGCTTAATGTCAAGAAATAAAAGGATTGTTGGCTTGATACATGCATGACAGTGTTATAGCAACACTAGCGAAGAGTGAACAAAAGCCAATATTTCGAGACGTAACTGGTGACAGTTCAGTATCACAATGGTTGTCATATGAAATAGGTAGGCCTGTTTTAAAGATAGGTGAGACAATATCTTCACCTGATAGAACAGCCCTGTACTTTCCTGTGTGCTGAGAGATGGTTGCTAGCCAAATTGGTTGACAGTAACTGAGGTCAATGTTTATGTCTCAAATATTAATCATGTGAAAACAAGGTCAAAGATGGACAGCAGACAGTTAAACATATAGATGAACTGACACAGCCACAAAGAGATGCAAGGTTAACTTTGTGTGCGAAACAACCAATCAAAAGACTGTATTTTCTACTAACATTAATCTACAATAACGTATATTGAAATCTATAAATATGTGTTGATTTTCCTTAATAAACGATCTGTTGCCTGACTCTTGCCTTCTGTCGTTACACCTGTACCTTCCAAGACCGTCTATTCAGTGCTTTGGCTAGAGCCTCACTATTATCTTTAAAAGTAGCTGGGGATAAATTGTCTGAGATTAGTCGCATATGCATCTGGAGTACTCGGAGTTCCTTTCGTATCTTGATTATGCAGCACTGTGGTTGATGATGTTGTCTACTGGCGCTGTGAGCGAGTTAAGCTGTATCTCAAGGTGCCTTGACCGGCGTTCTATCATTCTTCTAAGGTTCTTGGCCAATTTACCATCCGCTTAACAGGCAGTCTCTATGACAGTATAATTCACGCTGCCGGTGGCTTCTAACATCTGGCGAACAGCTTCCGTCTGTTACCAGGTGCAACTGCTGATTCCACTTCAAAAGCATTTTATAACCGAAACACTCCACAGTTCCTATGTACGCACTGTTAGATTTTATGTGAAGAGGCCATACACAAACCATAATACTTGCTATCAGCCAGAACAGCTCCAGAAGTATCAGGAAGTTATACGAAACACATATAGGCCAACTGGTTTTTGGTATGATGTTCTTCTGAGTGGTTAGGGCTCCTGTACACCATCTTTACAGTATCTTGTAACTGAAGTTAGTGACGCTTTATACTCTTTGAATGGTCAGTACCTAGAGCTTGAGTCTAGATCGTTTTGATATTTAACCCCTCCCCACCTATATCTGGTGGCAATGTGACATATTTTAATCTAGACCTGGATGGTAGAGGTAATACGCCACGCCTATGTCAGAAGTTGGTGCTGTTTCAAAGCTAGTTTGATTTATGCAAAGTTCCACTGTCTGACCAGCGACTGTTGATTCTCTGCTAATCACTAAGGCAACTTTTCTCTTAGCGCAGACGTCTGTCAGAGGCGCCTGATTGAAATCGCTTAGTTGGTGATTGGAGTGTTATATTTAGCTTTATCCAATTTCAGCTCGTCAGTGGGTAAGCAGAAATTACAATAAGACAAAGTATTCCTGGCAGGGTCGCTAATTACTTTAATTTGATCTTCTAGCTTAAAAGAACATAAATAACGAATAACGCGTGACTGGTCGATTAACATAGCGTTGATTTACTTCAACAGTGCGATTTTTCAACTAACAGATCTGACTGCAAGTTACTGAAAATTGCTGTAACTTTAGCTCTTCTACAACATAATTGCATCAGTCACTCAACATAGTTTAAACAGCTTAACTCTATCCAAGAAAAAAACACATTCGAACCTACAGCGAAAGTCCTCATCCTCAAGTTAACTGTTTGCCTGCTCTTTTGAGCTAACAGTTCAACTGTATCGAGTATGCAGAAAGTCAGAATAGACGCCAGTATCTCCACAGATTCATCAGAAAACTGAATGAATTATAAAATACGCATGTTCACGTGGTGTTATGTAACAATCTATTTTACTGAAATGTTATGGAATCCATTTATATTACTTTAATTATCCTAAATGTTAGAAATACAGCACGAGATATTTGCATTACAATGATTCACAATTCTAGAATACAGTCTTAGGTGTGACTCTTTGTGGCTGCAGTGGTGCGCACAAAAACGCATTTCTCATATATTAACCTTGGAGTTTAAAGACACTATGCATTTTCATTATTAATTAGTGAAAGCAAGACAAGCTTTCACTACTCTCAAGTCTGTGTGGAGGTTAACAGCACTACTAAGCATCAAAAATAACATCCGGATTTTCAACTCCAATGTGAAGTCAGTGCTACTCACTATACGGATGAGAGACTTGCACTGCGCGTCATAAAGACCATCTCAAACAAACTACAGACCTTCATTAACAGTTGTCTTCGCTCGATACTAGTCAAGGTCAGATGGCCAGCCGGTCAGAAAAGATCAGCAACAGAGACCTCTGGCAATGAGCGAAACAACACAGCAGGAACCGATCGTGAAACAAATAGACTATCAAGTGACATCACTAGACAAGCCATTGCTCGAGTGGAACCCGAAAGGGAATCAGCGAGTTGGTCGTCAGTTCGAAGGTGGGGTGACTTGGAGGAGGTGATGTGAAGAGGAGATGAAAACGTGTGGGCAGACTTGGAGGCATGTGAAGACTCTAGCAGAGAACCGAACGCAATGGCGACGCACGGCTGAAGCCGTATGTTCCTCTAGGAATTAAAGGAAATAATAATAATAATAAATAGAGATACCACATGTACAGTAACTTTTCAGGAGCAACATTGGAAAACAACATACACCTCGGCAAAAGGTTTCGTATTTATGTTTTATTCAACAACCTTGAAACAGAAAAATTAACAGTATCACATGAACTTTATCGAGATTTCTAAAGGCAGATGGCTTCGTCTGAGTTTTTAATCGGAGTCAACACCTCATGAGATGACCGGAACATAAGAAGTTGTGTCTGTTGAGACACTGCTAACATAAGATTATGTTGGAGGTGACCAGAAGAAAACCCGGCATCAGTTTATAAAATATTTGATAGTTAATTTCAACTAGCCATATAGGATGCTGATGGAATACCCCCTGAAGCACTGGAAGCGGACCGAGAGATGACAGCAGATATGCTGACTCCATTGTTGTAAAAGGTCTGAAAGGGGGGAGGAGGTTACCCTGTGAAACTAACAAAGAAAGGCGACCTGGGACTCTGCAAGAACTGGCGAGGAATCATGCTCCTGTCGACGCCAAGTAAAATTATGATTCGCATCATACTGGAGAGAATAAAGCACACACTGGATACAGAATTCCGACCAAAACAAACTGGATTCAGGAAAGGCAAATCATGTTCTGACCACATTGCAACTCTACACATCATCATCGAACAAAGCATGGAATGGCAGTCAAACCTCTACCTCAACTTCATAGACTTTGAGAAGGCCTTCGACAGCGTTGACCGCGAAGTAATTTGGAAACTACTCGACTACTACGGCGTACCCGAAATATTCATCAACCTTATTCAACAGCTCTATGAAAACGGCACATGTCAAGTGATCCACAACGGAAAACTCAGAGAGGCGTTTGGAGTAAACACAGGAGCCAGACAAGGGTGCTTATTATCATCAATAATATTCCTAATTGTGGTGGACTGGATTATGCGTCAGACAGTGGGAAACGAGAAGATAGGGATATCCTGGATCGACGTGAAGAACCTAGAAGACCTGGATTTCGCGAGTGGATGATTTATGTTTGATATCACATAAAATCGAAGACTCCAGGTGAACATAGACAAGACGGAGGTCATGAAAATAACCAGCCAACAACAGCAGCAGCAACATCCAACGCCAATCATCATCAACGGGAAGGATTTGAAAGAGGTTACTTCATTCACTTATCTAGGGAGCATGGTTTCAACTACAGGAGGAACGAACGAAGATGTCAAATCGAGCGAGAATCGGGAAGGCGAGAAACACATTCATCAACCTGAAACCAATCTGGAAATCTTCCGCTGTCACTCAGCCTGCATCAACAACAAAATTCGGATTTTCAATACAAACGTCAAGTCAGTCAGTTCTTATATACGGATCAGGATTTTGCGGGTCACAAAGAATATTTCCAACAGCCTGTTGCAGACCCTTATCAACAACAACTGTTTTCGCTGGCTCTATACTGAAGATCAGATGGCCGGAAAGAATCACCAACAAGAAACTATGGGAACAAACAAAACAAGAACCAATCGCCAAACAACAAATATGCAGGAGAAAGTGGAGATGGATTGGACACTCGCTGAGGAGGCCGCTGGGTGAGATCGCGCCTCAGACCAGTGCTCGAGTGGAATCCGAAAGGGAAGCAGCGAGTGGGACATCAAAGGGTGACATGAAGGAGATCCTGTGAAGAGGAGTTGAAACAGTATGGAGTAACATGGATGCAGATGAAAAGTACAGGAGAAGACAGAAGCAAGTGGAGACGTGTAGTTGAAGTCCTATATTCCACTAGGAACCCAAAGAAACTAATAATAATAATGATATAGGAAGGTGTAGACTGCCTGGTTGAGGACAACGGGTTGTTAAGAACTAAGAGCTAGTGACTACCGATGATACTGCTCAAAACAGTTCTCAGTGATGCAGTTACATTCACTTTTTGTAGTCACCTAGATCCATTAAACCCTCATGTGTCTTCATGCTTTTATTCTATCTCCGGACACATCTGGTCACTATAATCCTTCTGAATCTTTTGTTCTTTCTTTCTTTGCAATACGTTTGTATTCCACATGAATAATGTACCTAGATATAGGAATGACGGTTTAACGGCAAATTAGATAGGCATCAAGTGTTAGAAGGTTAAGTTGAAGATCTGCGTGTTAACTGCCATGATACAAATATTCATAGCTCCTGTTTTACAACAATGTGAATGACAAATGATTGAATTCGCGTGGGACTTTTCACACACAAGATCATCATCTCAAGTTTCATAACACCAAAGTAGACAAAAAAGATAAATGAAACTACAATAGATGAAAATGCACAGCGGAGTGAAAGTCAGTAAATTGATGATTAGCTATCATTGTGAGAATCTAAGAAAACATCTTGACTATTGTACACGATTTCGATACATTCCTCAACCTTGTATTATTATCACCTTGAGAAATTCAGTTAAATATCCTATACAACCTAACTTGGGTCATACACTCAGATGGTGATTACATGAATGGGTATAATGTTTCGTTCTGCTCAACGATAATAGCAGTATTCTTCAAACTCATCATAGGCTATTCACCATCATGAATAGATATTAAGTAAACTACTGAATGATACACAAGCATACTGGAAAGGATTCAGATGTCTAGCCGCTGCAACTCTCATCACATAAAAAAGTTTTTTAGGTTCTTGTAAGCTTAAGGTTTCTTCCTTGCTAATATAGACAATGGTGAAACGTCACAGAACAAACTAAACTTCCATAGTGAAACATTTGTAGAGACAAAGACATTTGGGAGCACTATGTGGCGGCCGAAAAACATATGAAATTATATGTTCACCGAAAAATAAGGAATCCAATGAAAATCGTGGTTGTTATGTGAGATTGAAAAGGACCGCGCGCAACGAACGAATCTGTTCCTCTCTCTCCAGCTGCTCGCTCATCACGTCTGCCGACCAACTCTGTCTCGCACTGATCGACACATCCACATTAGGATGCTTTGCTCCAATCTTATTTTCTCTACGCAGGAGCTCTTGGACAGCTGACATCTCTAAGGTGTAGTTGAGGATTTGCATAATCAAGAAAAGGACAATTTCATCCCTATTATTTCGTACGTCTATATTTTGAGTATTTTGTGACTATTATAGTTTTTCCAAATAACTTCAGCATTTTGTGTATACTAACTTAAGTTGACTGAAGATCTTATATATACATACATGTTGGTATTTGTTCTACCCTTTTTAACTGCGCGTATAAACATACTTAGTCGCTAGGTCCACTGCACCTATATGACCGATCTTATAATACCAAAAGCGATTTACACAGACCTTTTATGAAGCGTGCTGAAAACGCAAAACGACTGAGACTAGAAATATCATGCAAGGTTGAATAATTAGGTGTTATTTTTAAGCTTAATAAAATAATTCAAAAGGACCAGAGAATTGCATAATCCATTTCCCTTAGGATCCGAGTGTTTTGTATGTTACTCTAATACTGACTATCGACATCTACATGAGTACATCAGCCTTCAAATTTCCAGTGGAAAGCACAATCTCGATTTCATAGCAATTTGTCCTGGATGGTCTTTAATAAAAGTATCAGATTAATAGTGAGGAATATAAATATCATATTAGTTCTTGTAACACATGAAATTTTGAGACATAAACTGAATGGACTAATGTTTCCATCTAACAGAAATAGCTGAGATATATATCTGTTAAGACTTTGCACTTAAGATTAAAAGATTTTACTCCCTTGCTTTAATGTCGAGTGAGGGTCCCTTAGAATTTATTACATCAAAAGAAAAACATTACATGTGCCTAATCTTTTGAAGACAGAAAGTGTTTAGAAACAATAAACCTACAGATGTAAAGCTGACCTTGTCGCGCGAGATTAGGCATTACAATCTGAAAACACCGCGTCAATGAAGCTGCTTAATATCTGTTCTTTTAGTTTAAATTAAGTAGACCTTTTATCATAATTATCTTACTTGTGATACTTCAATGGAATCATTAGTTGAATTTGTTAAGATGTTATTGGCACCCTTTTGGTCATACTTATTTTTCACTTAGATTCATAACATGGGCTTTTTCGGATAGGTATACTATTCTCTACGGTCTGTGATATACAACAGAGAATGCTGTGAATTTTCAAATAAGTGTGACAGCGTTCGCACAGCTGTCAGTTACGATACTTTATCTAACCACCGTCTTCAGAATACACACAGAAAGAAGTTTATGGTAGTGAAATTACATGACGATTGTGTATTGAGCTACCCATTGTAGCGGTAGGTGATTCCCCAGAATTATTGGCCACAGGATTCATCACTGAAAATTAGATGCTGAACCTCACTGTTTAGCTGAAGGCTTCCGGTCAAGCATACACGCTATTTGGTGCGCCATCGTGTCACGTTCGTTTGCTCGTGTGCGATCCCTAGCTAGTGAAGCAGTCATCTCGCACTCTAGTTTGAACCCGAAATATAAATCGTAATTTGGACAGTCAATTCTGGTGTTTTGCTTTGCATTTGGTCTACGCGGAACGAATACTATAGAAGTTGTGGGTATTAGATCTCGCGTTCGTACTATCCGTGAACTTCAACACCTTCAGTCTCTAAACCATCTAATATAACTAAATCGGTGTTATAACACTTCTGGTTTTACTACTCATCAATGGAATCAACTTGAAACTCAATAAATATAGGTAAATAATAGTGCAAGTTCTTTCCTCAGCACATAGTTCTCATACTGTTTCCACTCACGAAATTCTCATTTGGATGAATTTAGTGATTTAGAGTAGTAAAGTAGGTATTACTACATCACTTTGCACATGGCTGCCAAAAAGTAAGCCTTATTCTATCGTAAAATGCTGATCCTAAGGTTGATTGCACTCATAATCCTACCATATCACACTACAACAAAAGATGCACTCGTTACTACCCATTGGGATTCCACTCAAACAATGGCCTGCATTGATCGTGATGACATTCGACGGTTTCCTGAATGTGCAACCAATCCATCCACCTCCTTTTTTCTCTAAAATACTTGTTGAGTATTCGGCTCTTGTCTGGCTCTTTCCTAACCAGAGTTTCTATTTGCTATTTTTTTCTGGCTGCTGAGCCATCTGATCTCCAGTGTGGAGGCGTCTGGAGAATGGGGTAGCTGTTGATAAAAGTCTATAGCCTGTTCGAAATGCTTTTCGTGACACGTGGGTCAGGTTTCCGACCCATATAATAATAACAATAATCATAGTGATAATGTATTCTCATTTTTTATACATGAGGGATGCCGGTTTATAGGCATCATCAATATGATAAATTACATATACGATTAGTAAGCATATTTAGTATTGATAATATAATAAGGTACATATTTTTTCCTACCAGTTGTACAGGCATGGATAAGTATTACATAAATTTGGTTTTTGGTTAAATCACATGGTTGCTGTCTTTTTGTCTGTAGTTTGTGGGAACAGTCTGATAAATAGTGATTCAATGGACCACATCAAGAAATACAGAAATCTTAACTTCGCATTAACAAAAAAACCCGAGAATGTGTTGGATGGATAGAAGAACTGACTGACTTGACATTTGTATTGAAAATCCGAATCTTGTTCTTCATGTTGAGTGAGCGCACAGGATTTCCTAACTCGTTTAATGATGATGAAGGCATATCTGGCCTTTCCAATTCTGACCAGTTGTTATATCTGCATCCGCTCTGCCTGTTGCTGAAACGATACTGCCTGGCAAGATAAGTAAAGTAACCTATTTCAGGTTTCTCCCGTTGGTGGGGGTTTGTGCTGGTTGTTGTTGCTGTTGGTGGCGTTGGTTATCTTCATCACTTTCATACTCTCTTTGTTCATCTGGAATCCTGCCTTTGGTGCCTGCCTGCTCAACCAGTTCACCGGTTTTCACCTGTATGTCCTCGACTTTGTGTGAAATTGAACATAAGTCATCTGTCTTCACTTCAAAGCCAGGCTTCGCTGAGTTTTTCTGTGTGAACCACCTGACACGTGGCAATTTCATATAGTTGTTGAATAAGGTTGATAAAGACATGGTGCCTCCAAAGTCTATAACCTCACAACACTTCTTAAAAGACGAATGCATTCGACAAGAGACATGCCCTACTTCCTTCCCGACAAAGTAATCTACAATAAACCTGCCATCATCCGTGAACTTTTCAGTGAGTGGTTTGCGCACCTTAGTTTAGAAATTCACACCCCTGGTGGAACCGCAACCCTTACTAACTCCTTCCTGAGGAGCGTAGAGTTCAACAATCAATTAACTGAACAAGTTGTTAAATGCCTTAGACTGTCTACTAGCATGGGACCGAGTGGCCTTGCTTCAATAATTGTCAAAAACAGTGGGTGTGATATTCCCCTATTACTTCTTAAATTCTTCTCAATACCTGTGGACACTTGCACCTATTTTATTTCTATTTTTTTATTTTATTATAGCTTCATTCCACGCAATATTTTGGTACAAGTATGAAATTTTCAGCATGTGATATCGGTAGCCCAAATTTAGCAGGCCGACCATAGATATCAGGTGTGCGTCGGCGGGGGATCGAACCTCAGATCATGTGCATGGTCGGCGAGAATCCTAATGGGTGGAAAACTAGCTTCATAATTCCACACTACAAATCTGGTTATAGCGCAAACATGCGCAATTACAGACCCATAAATATAACATCAGTTATCTCTCCAATCGTGGAGAAAGTGGTTAAAGATAAATTATCAGACTATCTACTTAGGGGAGAACTTGTTACAAGTTTCCAACACGAATTTCTCAAAAAGGTTGGGTAAACCACTCTTATAGGCTGACGACCACGAAATCGTCATGAATTAAACGATTTGATAAGTAAAATCGTCTTGAACTAAGTGGTTTCGCAACATGGTATACTGAATCCTGTCTACAGTTTAAAATTGACAAATGTTTAAAACAAGCAATAAAGGTTAATAAAGCAAGATTGCTTGTTTTAAATTCGTATCGGGAAATAAATGTTTTCAATTGACAAATGTGGCTGGATTTGCATCAGCAACGGTAACCTCAACCTAACTCTTGAAGTTAATGGGCGAAAACTAACCAAGCTCAACTCAGTCAAAGATCTCGGTATCAGATACTCTAGTAATTTGACGTTCTCTGAATAAACTGATTATGCCAGATGTAAAACACGAAGGCACATAGGATGCATAACTCACAATTTCTTTTGTTGTGAAACTAGGGTTTTATTATACAAAGAATCTGTCCGACATATTTTAGAATACTGCAAGTAAGATCAATTCAGTTCCCATCCTTGAAACAAGTCAACCTGTCCCGGGTCAGCCTAGCGTTGTTGCAACCAAATTATCCATGCCTAACGTGTCTATCCCCTTTTTTAATGGACTGTGTGTTTTGTACATTGATCCGTTTAGTCAGACCATTGTACTCATGACCCAATCAAAGTATTTTGTGAAGTGCTATTTTTTCTGACCCATGTCTTACTTTGTACTATTCTGTCGAGTTTATCTTATTTATTGATCTTCATCTGTATCAGCCTACCTGGTTAAGTAGCCAATTAAATTCTATCTTTTCGCCTATGCTCTGTCTATCTATTAACTGCTCTCTTTTCTATGCTCTGCCTTACTTGGGTTCATTCTTCTACTGACTGCTTACCTGAACGGTCGTGTCTGATTCCGGCTAGTTCGCAATTTTGGCTTTAACATTATTCCGCTCTGATAGCGGTAGCTTGCTTTCCGTAAAGCGTTGTGCTTTGTATTCTTGACACCGTTAGCGATTGTGTGTATAAATAATTATTGATTTGTTTATTAATAGTACCGTAGAAAAAGTGACCGGCTTCTTGTTTGTTCCGGACCGGGATAGCCTTTATCTACGCGTGACTTAATTTCAAGCGATATTGCGCTTACAGTACTTAACGCCTTGACGGAAAAGACCGTACTGAACTGGTCAGTACTGAACGTTCATCCAGAAGAAACTGTGGTGAATTGACAGCACGCAACGTTGTTGAAAACACATTTTCTTTGGAGCAGTGGAAAGCAGATCAGGGAAGGAAATTTCGGAGCAGCAGTTGGAGAGTCGGCAATTCCCCGTTTGTATAAATGATCATATTGGTAATCTTTCGTGCCCCAGCCCTCATGTCAGTAGTTCGAAATCATCATTATCGCGAGTAACTACTGCTAAGTCGTCGCTACTAAGGGCGCAGCTAAAAGGGAAACAGCTTCGACAGGAGTTAGAGACAAAGTTGCTGAAGGCTAAACACGATGTCGAAATGGCCGAGCTGCATGTGAAGTTAGCCGCGGAAGACGGACGGAACATTGAGGAATATGAAAGAGGCAGTGTCATTGATAACCGGGAGCAAATAGAACGATATGTGAAAGATTGTGCCGCAATGGTTGGCGGGGACGCTCCTGTTACGATCGGGAAGAGCGCGGTCGTGGAGAAACTTGACATGCCTAAGGTTGAAATGTCCTATTTTGATGGCAACTGTACTGACTACTTGAGACTTACCAAGGAATTCGAATATTATGTTGAGAATAGAGTAAAGGACCCTGGTCAAAGCATGTTACATCTGTTGCACTTTTGTAAGGGTCGAGCTAAAGCAGCCATACATGAATGCGTGATCTTGCGTCCTGAGAGTGCATATGCGCGGGCTAAGGGTATCTTACGGGATCTGTTTGGAGAGATCCACGTCATCGCACGAAACCGTATTGGAGACATGATTAGAAGCCTACGGCCTGTAGCAGAAGACGGAGAAGCTCTATCCCGTCTATCAATACAGCTTCAGAATTTCCTGATTGCCCTAACTGAAATGAACTATTTGTCGGACTTAAATTCCGTAACAACTCTCGAGAGAATAGTACGCATACTGCCGATAGCAGTTCGAAGGAATTGGGCCAGACTAGCAGACGCAAGGAATCAAG